TTTTTTCAAGACAATATAATCATGGGAAAAACTGTTTTTTCCCCCAAGAAGAATAAAACTCGGATAAAGACCACTATATACAGTACAGAACCCGTTATCCGGAAATCAGAAAACCGGAAAACCAAAAAACCGGAACGAAATTCGATAAATTTTCTCGCAATTTTTTTATTATAAATTTTTCTTCCTCATAAGATTTTACGATTTTTCTTTCTTTTTTTAAAGATGTTTACCTTACCATCATTTTGGAAATAATCATTAGTGTATTACATCGTTTTTTCTTATTTTTAAGATTATTGCCAAAAAATTTTTATTTTTTAGTTGGGTTTAACAAATAAAAAAAACGGCTTTTTGTAGCGATTCAGAAAACCGGAAAAATCAGTTATCCGGAATAGCAATTGTCCCGACCGTTCCGGATAATCGGTTTCCTACTGTACTAGTATTCACCTATTCCTAACAATGGTCTGCTCTATTATCGGCATGTGTCGACACAATATGAGGCATTTATAGCTTCCTTTGGATGATATGAATGCATGGATTTATACTAATTTAAGCTGAGAAGTTCATTTTATATATTTTTATTTAAAGGTCTTAAAAAGAAAATTTCTAAGAAATGGTTCAAGTAGAGATGCACAACCTTTATAAGTTGAAGGCCACTTGTACAACAGGTTGACCAATGAAGGGCCGCTTAATTTGCACAACTGGTTGACCAATGAAGAGCCACTTGCCCAAGTATTTAGACACTTTGAGAGCACTTATGGAAATTTTCATATAAACTTGAACATTTTAGGCACTAAATCCTTTTTATTAGTCCTCTTATTAAAACATTTGCATAGCATTAAATGATTTTAAACATTAAAGCTAAAAGAATGCCAAACTTTTTATATTATATATATATATTATATAATGGAAATATTTTTTTGAAAAAAATATTTCCATCTTAGATATATATATGTATTAAGAAAAAAAAAAAAGATTTATCAAAATAAATATAAAGTAAAAAGTAAAAGTTCACACGACACAAGCTTATTTTAAAATAAATTAACTGTAATTTTCCAAGAATAAAAGTTAATATAATAACGAAATATTTTATTTAGCAATATATATGCCAAGTAAATATTTTATTTAGCACAATATAAATGCAAATTTAATGTTTTAGTTAAAAATATATTTATGGTGTTTAAAATTATTGAAAGTAAAACAAACACATTGTAGCTCAAAAGAAAATCCAACAGTCAGTTGGGAATATATTTTCAACTATTCATTTATGCTTAATGAACTATAAAAAACTTTATCATGTTAAATCTTAAATGGTTTTTAAGCACATTTTAAAATACAAAGAATTAGAAATAAAGTTACAAACGGTAATGAGTAAATTACATGTTGTTATAATACATGTTTAAATTTACATTCTACATGTTTAAATGTAATTCTACATGTTTAAATCATGTTTAAATTTACATGTTGTTATACTATGGTACTAAAATATTGTTTTTTTAATTACCATGTAAAAAATGAGCAGCAAAAATCGGAAAATAACTTGGATTTATGGTGAAATCGGCATAAATAAATTATGTCAAAAAGTGATTATTTAAATGCGCAATTTGAAGTTTGCGATAATATTAATGTGTATTATAGTAAAAATATTTGAATTTCAAAACCACTAGAAAAAAAAGCCTGAAAATAACTGCCGAAAAACAATAAATAGATTCTTCAGATTTACGATGAAACCAGCACAAATGAAACATAAACTCATGTTTGTGAAAATTGCAACACAATGAAGGACTTATGTGAGTGAGCTGAAATTTTCAGGAAATGCAAAGTAGAGCATGATATGCAAATGATTAAAATTTCAGATCCGTAGCACATGCGCATGCTGAGCAGCGCCCTCTGAATGGCTGATGGATCCGAATAAATAGACGGCTGTAGCGAGGCGTGTATGGTTATCACTGGTTATCTGCTTGTGGCAAACGTTAGCTTCGTCGTTACTTATGCCTCTTCCACAAAAGAGAGCAAGTTTTCAACCACTTACGGAGTTCGAACGGGGGGAGAATCACCAGCCTTCGGGAAGCTCGATTATCTTATTGTGCAGTAACCGCTCGTGTGGAGCGTAAGAGCAGCACAGTAATGCGTGTTTGGAAGCAGTGGACAAACGAGTGTCAGATAACTCGGAAATCCGGTAGTGGACCGCGAAATGTCACGTCAGCTCGCGACGATAGACACCTGGTCTGCATGGCACTGACGGACCGTACGGCTCCCTCTAGACAACTGGCAGCACAGTGGTCAATAGCTACAGGTGATTCATTGTGTGCTTCATCAATTTGTAGACGTCTACTGCAGCGTGGACTGCGCGCAAGGACTCCTTTATGCAGGATCTTCCTCACGCTAAACCATCGCCGCCTGCGGCTGCAATGGGCCAATCAGCATAGGGACTGGAGTGCTGATTGGCAGCGTGTCGTGTTTTCTGACGAATCTGTGTTATCGTGTTTTCTGCCACCTTCCAGAGTGCGTTATCGAAAGCCACGTTGGGCGAACACCCAGAGTTATGGTCTGGGGTGCCATAGCATATCATGGACGATCTCAATTGCTACGAATTGTGGGTAATCTGAACAGCAACCAGTATATCAGTGAAGCTCTACAGCCCCAAGCTGTTCCCTTCCTTCAAGCCTTGCCAGGCTCTGTATTTCAACAGGACAATGCCCGCCCTCATATTGCTTGGACTCTTCAATCTTTCCTTGCATCGCAACAGGTACAACTTCTTCCCTGGTCTGCATATTCCCCGGATATGTCACTGATTGAACAAGAGTGGGATTTCGTTGGTCGGCGTCTCGCTTGTGATCCAAGTCCTGTTGCTTCTACAGACGAACTTTGGGTACGCATACAAACAATATGGAATGCTTTTCCTCAGACAGACATTCAAAATTTACTTGAGTCCATGCCATGTCGTGTAGCAGCACTTATTGCGGCGCGTGGTGGCTACACAAAATACTGATTTTGTTCTCTTGTTATTGTTTGTTTGCTTTGAAAGTTTAATCATTTATTTGTACCACTACCTCTCAACTGTGTATTAAATTTCATTTAATTATGACGATTCCTTCTTGGTGTTGCAATTTTCACAAACACGAGTTTATAATTAAATGCATGGTTCATGAGTCATATTATTGTATTAAAATACAATATCATGTAATTAAAATGAACTTCATGAATGAATTTCAGTAAAATTTTTGTAGTTATGTGAGCTTTTACAAGTTCAAAATTTTAATGTTATGTGAAATTTTTGAATTGTAATTATCATGTCTAATTATTGACACAAGAACAAATATGATTTTTATAGTAATATTTAAAACGCTATATTTTAAAACTTTAAATTTTTTTAAAAATTTTCTAGCAAAAGTGAGATACTAATTTAACTAAGCAACAAAATTATAAAATTCCCATAGTTATTCAGATAAAATTTTATCTTTAAAATTGTGCGAATTGACTAACACAAATTTTAAATTAACAAGCTTGAATTAGCTAATATTGTGCAGATTGCAATGGAAAAACTTTGTTTTTATTTTGAAAATTTATTTAAATGAGAATATTTAATACTATTTAAAAACTATTTAATACTGTTTCACTGCTATCGTTTCATTTGTATAACTAAATAAATCTTACAAAGACAAACAAACCCGAAGCACCTCTGGCTATAACGTCAGAAGAGGTAAGCAAAACTTCTTGTTCCATTTTATTTTTTTTTTAAGATACAGGGTATCTATCAAATAAAAAAATTACTAAAAGAACTACTGTGAAAAAATTACTAAAAGAGCCACTTAAAAAGAGCTACTGTGATCACTAACTTGCATCTCCTGGTAATATAGTAGATAAAAAAATAATATTTTGCTCTTAAATGTTATTAATTTTCAATTTTGAATTACAACTTATTTAATCAACTCTCTGATTTATAAAGTGAGAGCAAAGTTAATTTTTAACTATAACGCAAATTAACATTATTTTTTACTAAAAATTGCTACGACTATTTTCTTTTTTTATTACTATCGGTTTAATAAAAACAAAATATATAACAAAACAAAAAAACTTTCATAAAAATTACTCAAGAACACATTTTTTTACACATGCTGATTTTAACTTAACAAATATAAATAGAGCATGATTCCTAATAAATAATAATAATATTTACAATACATAAATAATGCAACATTTTTTACCAAAAACTGCTTAGTAGCTTTAATTAAATTGCTCCTTTTTTAAGGTGGTTCCTAAACTTCAAAAGCACATAATGAAATTTAACACAATTCACAAAATTATTTTAAAGTAATTAATAATTTAGAGTATTGTGAATGCAAAAATTTTAATATTGTATGTCTTCTTTTAAATATTGTAAAAATAAAATAGATTAATTTAACAAGGGCTACATTATCCTCTCAACACAAAATATCAAGTGGTTACTTAATTACATAGCCTTTTATTTTATTTTCAGGCCAAATTCAACATTTAATGAAATTTCGATGAAGAAAAGCATTTATTTATTAAATTTCAACAAATATTTCAGTAAACAATTGAAAAAACCCACAAGAGAATTGGAAAATTTAATTTCATTTTAGATTTTGGTAGCTTTTTGACACTGTACCTGAATTCTAAAGCTATTACAACTTTTTCTAATAAAACAAAAGTGCCAGTCTGCAATTTTCTTTTATTCTACCGATAATTTTCCATAACAGTTAAAGAGATAAAAGCTGAGCATAAATTGAAAATTCGTTACAGCAAGGAGACTCCATTTTTTAATATTACAGTTATATAATAATTTATTGTTTCAGAGATCTTCGTGTTAAGATTTATTTTTAAAGCGTTAATAATAAACTTCTTTCTTATTTTAAAAAGATGCAATGTGAAAGAGCTTTAAAACTTTAGGCTAACAAAATGTTTATAAATTTTCTTTGAGCTAAAAGTATAACACAGCATTTCTGAAAGATATCAATGCCTTAATCTAATTATATCCATACCTTGTTTTAATCTATTATGAACAAAATTGATACCACGTTCTGCTGCTATTGAAATCGAAACATAAACAAAATAAGAAAATGTTTCAGAAAGTTGCCACAAATATGGTAGTTATAATAAATCAAGAGTTTACATATTTAGTATCTATTTCTACCGTTAGCTAACTCCAGACCATTTTAGTTAGTTTAACCGCGCCAAATGGGTGAAGAATGTTTCTTTGCCAATAGCGATAAATAACTCTACTTAGTTGCTCTTCTTCCGCATATGCATTTCACGTCATTAACTCCACCCAACTATGTTATTATCTGAAATCCAACGAACATGGATGGATCGTATAAAGCTAAGCACAGGTGGCGCTAAAAGTTCAAATTCATTTTAAGACTTCCGGGTTACTACTTTCGATTTATTATTCCGCCTAAATTTGAAAAAGCGGTTCATCCAATATTATTATGGATGGGTGGTCTAATGTAAATAATAACAAGCGTCCTTAAACCGGAAGAAATTTAGAAAATTTCCGGTGTATCCCTCCGCTTATGTTATGACTACGAGGCGATGTGTGAACATGCCAAATATTCTATGCAGTTTTGTTATTGTAATTTGGGTTCAAATCTAAACATAATTGTACCATTCATAAGAGCTTTCAGAAATGTATTGGTTCTCAGAGGTCGTAAGGCCAAAAAAAATTTTGGAAAGTTAATATCTCATTGTGAATAATTCTTAAGATTTGCCATGTTTTGTATTTTATCCCTTATTTGGCTACATTTGAATAAAATGTCGCCAAAAATATCTTTAAAAATATCTTTTTAAATTAGCCTAATTAGAAAATATTCTAATGATTATAATATTAATATGATAATGCTGAAGTTTAAAGGCTGAAAGAAAGAACTCGGTACATGTGAAATACTGCAAAAGATATGATGCAATAATATGATGGCGCGTTTTTTCAATCTGCGGCGTAAAAATATATCGGAAGCAGTAACCCGGAAGTCTTGAAAGAGCAATTTTACCACTAGCACCACCACCCTCAGCTTTACACGATCACCCATCCATACTTGTAGTGTTTGCAACATAATGCTTTCTTTCGATTTAACTTTCAGTGGAACAAACAGCAAACGAATTCGAAAGACTCCACAAGCACGTTCTACCCAAAAAATAACTAACGGCAATATTTTACAAAAATATAGTCAAATAAGGGATAACAGTCATAGTAAACCTTACGTTTTATTTCTGTTCTGATATTAATTTTCTCAAATTTATTTACGGCTAACGACCTTTTAGAATCGATAAATTACAGGAAACTCCCATGAATTTTAAAATTATTCTTGAATTTAAATGCAAAGCACAATAATAAAACTTCCTAGGATATCAAGTCTGATCCCACATCTCCTCGTAAAAATAACATACGCGGAGGGATACATTGAAAGTTTTCTTAATTTCTTCCGATTTCAAGAATTTCGCTATTGTTCACATTCAGTCAATCATCCATAGACAGGATATATTTTCAGATTCAAAGTTTGGGAATGAAAAGCTTTCTTTTTTCTACAACAAGAAATACAACTGATGTTTTTCGATGCTTCTGATGTATTAAATTTTAAAATATTTCTGTTTCATTTTATTTAATATTTCTTTATTCTGTTCGCTGTGACATTTGAAACCAAGAATTTTCCCATCAGTCATCAATAGCAAAGTATATTTTCTCCACGAGGGGGATGATTTGATAGAAGTTTTCTTCATGGAAATCTTGAAGCGGGTATGAGAAAAAGAAATCTTAGGATTCAAACAGAAGAAAACTAACTTTATTTATTATATTTTTTATTAAAAATTGCTACTACTAACTAATTTCTTTCTATTACTATTTACTTCATTAAATAAAAGATATAACAAAACAAAAAAAATTTAATAAACATGTAAAAATTACATAATTCAAGAACACATTTATTTGCAAATAACAAATTTAATTTATAAAATATAAATAAACTTAATAAAAAAATTATATGCACAATTTACAAATAATGCAAATTTTTTTTGTCAAAAATTGTTTTATTATTGCTTAGTAGCTTTATTTAAATCGTTATTTTTTAAAGGGGGTTCCTAAACTTCAAAATCACATAATAAAACATTTTCACCAGACTATTTTTAAGTAATTAATAGCTTAAAGTATTGTAAGTGCAAAATTTTTTATATTGTACTCCTTCTTTTAAATATTGTAATAACAAAATAGTTTAAATTAACAAAAGCTACATTATCCACCCAACACAACTTATCAAGTGGTTGCTTAATTACAATGTCTTTTATTTTATTTTCAAGTCAAATTCAACATTTAATGAAATTTCGGTGAAGATAAGGATTTATTTATTATCTTTCAACAAATATTTCAGAAAACAATTTTTTAAAAAACCATATGAGAATTGGAAAATTTCCCTTAATTTCAGATTTTGCTAGCTTTTTGACACTGTACCCAAATTCTAGAGCTATTACAACTTTTTCTAATAAAACAAAAATGTCAGTCTGCAATTTTTTTTTCTACCGGTAATTTTCATAACAATTAAAGCCATGTAAGCTGAGCATGAATTGAAAATTCGGTACAGCAGGATCAGTCCATTTTTTAATATTATATAGTTAAATAATAATTTATTGTTTCAGGGATCTTCGTGTGTTGATTTATTTTTAAAGCATTAATAATAAGCTTCTTTCTTATTTAAAAAAATGCAGTATGAAAGAGCTATAAAAGTTTAGTTTAACGAAATGATTATAAATTTTCTTTGAGTTAAAAGTACAACAGCATTTCTGAAAGATATCAATACCAAACCTAATCTAATTACATCCATACCTTGTTTTAGCATATTATGAAAAAATTGATACCACTGTCTGCTGCGGTGGATAGTTTACTGCATGTAAACAATAACAAACTTCCTAAACCCGGAAGAAATATAGGTAACTTCCGGTGTATCCTTTCAGATATATTATGCTTCCGAGGTGATGTGTGAGCAGGCTTCATAATCTATGAAGTTTCATTATTGTGATTTGTGTTCAAATTTACGCGTAATTTTATCATTCATAAGAGTTTTCTGTAATTTATAAATTCAAAAGTTTTGAGAAATAATTTATTGCTTATGTTAAATTTTCAAATAATTCCAAACACATTAAAAAAAAAAATTTCATTTCTCTATCTGCATTATTTATAAAGTTTTGGGCACTTTTTTTTTTTTTTTTTTACTTATGAAAATGTCAGTGGTTTTTTTCAGCAAAAACAAAAATCTCTCACGTGCATGCTTTTTTAATATTTACTATTTACATGTTATTTGAATCTCTAGAGATTTTTTTTCTGTTGATGATGGAGCTTTTAAGTAATTTTTTTTCACAATCAGCCTAAAATAAGATTGAGTATAAGCGTTTCGAAAATTATTAAAGTTTTTACAGCATGTTATTTATATCTGTGCATTCGATATTTCTTGCATTTTTTTTCATCTCCATTTTATATAAAGGGAACCATAGAAATTGTTGTAATTGATATATGGGTGATTCTTTGGAAACACGACTATTCGAACCAAAAATTTCTTCAAATTTAAAGTCTTCAAAATAATCTAACTTTTTTTCTATATACTTATTTAGTTACATTTATTAATATCTTACAGACAGCACTATAGTTTATTGACAATGCTCAAGAAAAAAAAATATAATAGAAATTCACCAAATCTTGAATGCCAGGAAAATGACATATTAGCTTAGAAGTTTAAAAAAAAGTCATTTTGAGCTAATAGTATGCTCAACTTAAGCCTTAATGTTAGATGGACCATAAATTGCGTAAATTAATTCTTTTCATCCACAGTAGAAAGAATGAAAAATGTTTTTGTTACTAATATGTGCAGAATAAAATTGTGCATAATAATCAACCATTAAATAAATAAATAACTTTGATTACATTCAAGCATATTAAAATCCTACATAAACTTGGTATTAGGTTAATATTTGCTTTCCCTCTTTACAGTATACTGCCTAAAAAATTTTCTGGTAACACTTCAATGTCCTGGCATTCATACGCCAGGAAAATGACAGCCAGGATAATGACAAATTTGATATTTTATAGCATTTAACTTTACTTTAATTTAACATTTTGGCCTAAGACGTTTACAACCTGCAGAAAACAGCAGAATTTCTTGAAATAACTCAGATAAATCTACGTAGTTTATGTTATTAATTATTTCATGAAGACAGGAAAATGACAACATAAAAACCAACTCACCTTGAAAAAATTTTTGAAATAGATTTTGAACCAGAAAGTTGGTTCTTTATTCATGCAACAAGACATGTTCAGATAGATAGGGGGGTATCTAATCAATCTATAAACATAAGATATTGATTGCTGGTCCTATCTATTTTGGTTATAAATCACTAAATAACAGTAGCCAGGAAAATGACATATGAGAAACAAATTATTGACAGAAAAAATTATTTTAAACGAAGTTTTTGTAAATAATACCCTCTGCGTATATTCTACAAATGCTTACAAAGGTTGAGATAAAAAACAATTACATATTGAAAAAATTATGCGAAGTTTTGAAGCTAGTTATTATTGGAAATATTGTTTGTGACATACTAGAAACATGACATTTTGAAATTAAATTAAATTTTATAAATATACAAAACAGTCGATGCTAGTACAAGGTCATTTTAAATTGCTAACAGCAATGCTATTTATTAAAATTTTTAAAAAAAGTTCTTTTAGTAGTATAGTATTAGATCTTTGAGCAAGAGACTGTAAATTGTCATATATCGTGAGAATTACCCATTTAAGCAAATGAATGCGTAGATTTACTGTAGGAACCATATTGCTGATTTTTTTTTTTTTTTTTTTTTTTTTTTTTTTTTTTGAGAAACATGTTGCAAAAACTTCTCGCTTTAAAATCTTAAAAATGAAAAGATTTTTGCACATTTTTAAAAAATCTGAGCGTAATCGCATCTAAGTAAATTCCTGTTTGTGAAAATTGCAACACCATGAAGGAATCGTCATAATTGAATGAAATTTAATACACAGTTGAGTGGTAGTGGTGCAAATAAATGATTAAACTTTCAAAGCAAACAAACTGTAACAAGAGATCGAAATCAGTATTTTGTGTAGCTTCCACCCTCCTCAATAAGTGCTGCTACACAACTTGGCATGGAGTCAAGCAAACTTTGAATTTCTGTCTGAGGAAGAGAATTCCATACTGTTTGCATGCGTACCCAAAGTTCGTCTGTAGAAGCAACAGGACGAGAATTACGAGCGAGA